TATTATTATTATTATTTAACCATCGGCGCTGCTCTTGCTACAGTTGCTCCAATTTTACTGTTGACTTTGTGATATGAAGAACACACTAGGCTTCGATCTTTTCAAACAAGTGGGTCATGATAAATGTGAAATTTTACACGTTGATTTTTTGAAACTTGTTATTTGACAATAGAAGACACGTGAGGGATGAGCTTCGATGTCGTGCCTCTTTGAGTGGCCTTGTTTTCTTCTCAGATCCAGATGTCCCTCCTTCGCTGATCCTTTTGAGCACGCTGGGTGGCTGGAAGGCCAGCATCACCATCTGTTAAGAAGAAGAAGGTAAAACAATTAAAAAAACCGGATAATAGAAACACATGCTACTTGCAATGTAGAAAAGCCACCATGTGACACATAGCACTTTATTGGCGGAGTGTGTCTTCCAACATACAGAGAATTGCTAACATGTGGTATGTCACCCTATATCATGTTACATGTAGCTGTTACAAAGAAAAGGTTGTTGTCCAAGAAGTGGATTCGAACCCACTGCTCTAGAGGAGACTGCGACCTCAGGCTCCGGCTGTGGTAATTTTTTGAGAAATGTTGAGATATGGGGCCATCAGAGCCAGCTCCAACATTCGTTAGCCAATGGCAGTGCCAGCTCCATAATTCACCGGCCAATCACCTTCGCGGCTCCTACATTCGTCCATCATTTGACCAATCACGGCGGAGAAATGTTGGAGCAACGAAGGAAGGGGGCGTACATCGTAATAACATCGAGGGACATCATTTAAAGTTTACGAGTGGTTTACCAAACATGGTGAAGCGTCCTTATATATACAGTGTGGTATATTACATGATATAAGTGTAATAATAATTCAAACTGTTGTGTCGTGTTGTAATATAGATTAATTCAACTAGTTCCTTACAAACTCTCCGTTATCTGAACCCCAGCATTGTTAGCTTCCACTGTGNCAGAGTCCAACCACACATGTCCAACACATAGGCCTAATAATAATAATAATAATAATACATTATATTTATAGCCTATTGGCCTAGCGCTTTTCTAAAACTCAAGGGAGTTTTAGAAAAGCGCTAGGCCAATAGGCTATAAATATAATGTATTATTATTATTATTATTATTAGGCCTATGTGTTGGACATGTGTGGTTGGACTCTGTCTCACAGGCAGGTTGCAGTGTAACATCAGAGGAGACTGTACAATTGTACATTCTCAAACTGCACCACTTAGAACTAACTAAACAATGCAGAGATTATTTTTATATAATTTTATTCAATAACCGTAAGAAATTAAACAGTATGAAGTGATTTTTAAATAGGAATACAGATTTCACTTAATGTTTTCATAAATATATTTTTCTCCCAGTTTGTCATGGGACTTATTTTTACCCTCTCAAAGAACCGGAATTGAGAACCGAAAATAACTGGAATCAAAAAGCAGAACCGGAATCGTTAAAATCCAAATGATACCCAACCCTATGTGTGATGCAGTAAAATCTTACCGCTCACTTACGTTAGCGGTGTCGTAAAAACCGTGGGAAAATGTAAAATACGATGGCGAAGAAGAAGATTCCAGTGGCCCCAATTTGTGTCCATTCTGGACAAGTGAAAAATGTATTCGGACAAGTAAATTGCCAAACTCNCAGGAAGTAAACAAAGGAGTCCAATGGAGGCAACACATGGATTTGAGCCTTTGCAGACCCTTTACATGCACAAAACCATGATAGGGTTTAACCTTTCCTGCAGCTTTACAGAAATCACAACCAGAGGAAGAATAAAAAAAGATAAATCTGAATAAAACAGCAGAGGTTGTTTCTTTTATTATCTTAACACACATTTGCTC